GCGGCAGCAGCAGCGGGGCACCGCAGTGTGTAGGGGGGAGGGGCGGCGCTTTGCTCGGGGTCCCAGCTCCCTTGTCCTCCACTGCTGCTGCTGCTGCGCTGCTGCTGCTGCTGCTGCTGCTGCTGCTGCTGCGCTGCTGCTGCTGCTGCTGCTGCGCTGCTGCAGGGCCTGGTGTGCCTGTTTGGGCTGGTGTTTGGGCCGCACATGCGGGGCCACTTGGCCGTGGAGCTGGTGGGAGTCTTTTTGATTTTGAGTTGTTTTATTTTTTTCTTTTTGACAGTTTTGACAGACCCGGGATTGCCCGCTGCTCTCACGCAGCCGCTGCTGCTGCTGCGCGCCGGCGGCCAGCCGCTGCCCCTCGCTGCTGCTGCTGCTGAGCCTCCTGCGAAGCAGGAGCACGGCAGCCGCGAGCAGACGGCGGACACAGACGCAGCAGCAGCAGACTCACCCACAGACGCAGCAGCAGCTGCAGCAGCAGCAGCTGCTGCTGCTGCTGCTGCTGCTGCTGAGCCTCCTGCGAAGCAGGAGCACGGCAGCCGCGAGCAGAGTCGAGCCGCAGACCCACCCAGCAGCAGTGAGCAACCGCAGCAGCAGCAGCAGCAGCAGCAGCAGCAGCACGAGGAGCAGCAGCAGCTGCTGCTGCGGCCTGGAGAGCTGGCGAGGGAGTTGGTGGGCTTTTCTGCGCCTCCCGAAAGCCCAGAGTCTCCAGCGGGCGCCGAGTCTTCCCAAGCAGCAGCAGCAGCAGCAGCAGCACTTTGCGTTGCCGGGCGTGTCTGCGGACTGCAGCAGCGGGGAGAGTTGGGTGACGGAGAGCGAGTACAGCGTGGGCAGCAGCAGCAGCAGCAGCAGCAGCAGCAGCAGCGGGAGCAGCAGCAGCAGCAGCAGCAGCAGCAGCAGCAGCTGTGCAGGGAGTGCGGCGTGTGGAGCAGCAGCAGCAGCAGCACGAGCCACTGCAGCGAGTGCGGAGTCTGCGTCGAAGGCCTCGACCACCACTGCCCCTGGACTTCCAAATGTGTTGGCCAAAAAAACTTAACTTTTTTCCACCTCTGGCTTGCTGCTGCTCTTGCTGCGCTGCTCTTCCACGCAGTTGCTGCCACGCTCCTCAACGCGGACCCCCGCAGGCACGCCGCTGCTGCTGCTGCTGCTGCTGCTGCTGCTGCTGCTGCGGTGCTGCTGAGGTGGACGGCGCGCTGTTCTTGCTGCTGCTGCTGCTGCTGCTGCGGGGGTGCTGCTGAGGTGGACGGCGCGCTGTTCTTGCTGCTGCTGCTGCTGCGGGGGTGCTGCTGAGGTGGACGGCGCGCTGTTCTTGCTGCTGCTGCGGTGTTGCTGGGGTGCTGTTGCTGCTGCTGTGCTGCTGCTGCTCCTGCTGCTGCTGCTGCTGTGTTGCTGCTGCTGTGCTGCTGCTGTTGTGCTGCTGCTGTTGTGCTGCTGCTGTTCCTGCCGTGCTGCTGCTGTTGCAGTGCTGTTGTTGCTGCTGCTGTGCAGCTTTTGCGGTGCTTTTCTGGTGCTGCTGCACTCGTGGACTGTTGCTGATGCTGCTGCTGCTGCCGTTGCTGCTGCGGTTGCTGCTGCTGCAGGAGGAAGCACGGCTGACGCCTTGCTGCAGCGGAGCTTCGCCGCAACGAGGCCGCCCTAAAGACTGAAAGCTGCTTCGCAGCAGCAGCAGCAGCAGCAGCAGCAGCAGTAGCGCAAGGCCCGCCGAAGTGCAGGTACTGGCTGGGGAGGCTCGCAACACTTGCATGGGTTTCTTTCCTGGCACCCTTGCTGCTGCTGCTGTTGCTGCTGTTGCTGTTGCTGCTGCTGCAGTTGCTGGCGGCTGCAGCAGCTATGCAGTCGCGAAGAGCATTTAGTGAGACCGAGCTTTCCCGCTTTTCTTTTTGCTGCAGCAGCAGCAGCAGCAGCAGCAGCAGAAGCAGCAGCAGCTCGCAGCCCATCAAGAACAACTTTCACTTGCTGCTGCAGCTGCTGCACCGCATTTGCTGCTGCAGTCTAAGTCTGCAGAGCAGCAGAAATGCACTTTTCAGTCTAATTTATTTCTGCTGCCTTAGTGCTTTTTGCTGCGCCGGAAGTGCGGCTCTCTGCAGCAGCAGCAGCAGCAGCAGCAGCAGCGACAGCAGTAGCAACAGAAGAAGCAACAGCAACAGCAGCAGCAGCGCGCAGCAGCACGTAATCAGGTGGTGCTGCATAATTGAACTTCTGGGGTTAGGGTTTAGGGTTTAGGGTTTAGACTTGACGCAATCAAAACCCCCAACCCCAGCAGCTAAATTAAGAAAAGAAAAAGATTTAATGAGAGTACAAAAAGATAAGAAATATAATTTAAAAGAACTTCGGGGGCCCCCAGGGTACCAGGGGCCCCCAGGGGGCCGGGGGCCCCCACGGGCCCCCAGGAGTTCAGGGGGCCCCAGGGGCCCCAGGGCCCCCAGGGTACTCAGGGGGCCCCCGGGGCCCCCAGGGTACTCAGGGGGCCCCCGAGGCCCCGGGGGCCCCAGGGGCTCTTCAAATCCCCTCAAAGGCTATTACAAAAGGGCCCGGGGGGCCCCATTCGCTGTCTTTGTTTGAAAAATGCCTTTGAAGAATTACAATTAAGACTTAAAAAGAGTTATTTGCTGCTGCAGTTAAGACCCGGCTGCAGTGCTGCAGCGCCACAGGGCTAGCTACTATAGCTGCAGCGGCTTGCAGCAGCGAAGGAACCCGCGTACGCACCGCCGGATCAGCAGCAGCAGCAGCAGCAGCAGCAGCAGCAGCAGCAGCAGCAGCAGCAGCTTCTGCAGCCCCAATTGGTTCGGCGGCAGCTTTCAAACAGAGTCAAGAGACTCCACAGATATCGTGGCGTTTAAAAATGCGTGCAGATGACGGCCCTCCTCCCTGCAGCAGCAGCAGCAGCAGCAGCAGTAGCAGCAGCAGCAAATGAAGCCGCAGCAGCAGCAGCACTAGCAGCAGCACAGCACGCCAAAGAGCTGCAGCAGCAACCTCACCGCCCAAGGAGCTTCTGCAGCTCCGTGTCGCTCATCGCCGCTAAGTCCCTCAGACACCGCACCTGCAGAAACCCGGGTAAACAGACTTCTTGCTGCTGCTGCTGCTGCTGCTGCAGCAGCAGCAGCAGCAGCCATAGCTGCTGCCAGCTGCATGTGGTAAGCAACGCCAATCCTGAAGCTAACAACGGACGCGCGTCTGCAGTGCCGGCAGCAGTAAGTAAAGCAGCAGCAGCGACAACGGCAAAAGCATCAGCCACAGCAGCAGCAGCAGCAGCAGCAGCAGCAGCAGCAGCAGCAGCAGCAGCCCTTACTCTTGAAACAACAAGGTTGATGTTAAGCGGAGTTATGCCGGGCAGACGCCTCAGAAGGTCGACAGCAACCGTGTTTGTTGCTGCTGTTGCTGGCAGCACACGGCCCCCAGAAGCAGCAGCAGCAGGTGTAGATCCTGCAGCAGGCACTGCTGCTGCTGCTGCTGCAGGCACTGCTGCTGCTGCTGCTGCTGCTGCTGCTGCTGCAGGCCCTTTTAGGCTCAGTCCTCTCTCGTCGGCGCTGTTCACTTGCTGGCCGCTGCTGCTGCTTGCTTGCCCCCCAGCATCAGCAGCAGGAGCATCTTCGATTGCCAAGGGCGTGGGAGGATTAGACGTTTGCTGCTGCTGCTGCTGCTGCTGCTGCTGCTGCTGCTTCTGCTGCTGCTGCTGCTGCTTCGGCGCCTCTGAAGAGGGCCCTTCTCCCGCCAAGACAAGTTTGTCGATTTCGGCAATCCTTTGGAGGGACGGCTGTTCCCTTCCGACCTGCAAACGCCTGCAGCGACAGCAGCAGCAGGTCAGCAGCAGCAGCAGCAGCAGCAGCAGCAGCAGCAGCAGCAGCAGCAAAAGCGGCCGCACGCGTCAACGCCGACTCTTTTTGCAAGCAGCATCTGCTGCAGCAACTGTTGCTGCTGCTGCAGCAAACGTACTTTCATTGCTACAAAAAGGCTTGCAGCAAATGCTGTATGGGGGGCCCACAGAAGCCGCAGAGACGGGAAGTGCAGCAGCAGCAGCAGCAACCTGCAGCAGCAGCAAACAGCATCAGCAATAGTCTAGGGCGCGCTGAATCCAAACAGCACCTGCTACAAAAGGCGCCTAAAGACAAGCAGCAACAGTAGCAGCAGAAGCAGCAGCAGCAGCCGCAGCAGCAGTCGCTGCAGCAGTGACCTACTTATTCCAAATGGGGTGCAGCACGTCTCTGCCATGTCTGCTGCTGATGCTGTTGCTGCTGGGAGCAGCAGCAGCAGCAGCAGCAGAAAGGTTTACTGGCGCTCCCCCGAAATCAAGAAGCAAACAGGGAGACTGGTAGTGCCGCACCAGTAGCCGTGCCTGCAGCAGCAGCAGCAGCAGCAGCAGCAGCAGCCAGGCATTACGGCAGCAAGCAGCAGCAAGGCTGGCACTGGACGAAGACGCAGCAGTAACGTAATGCAGGAGCCGATGCAGAGAGCAGCAGCAGCAGCAGCTGCTGGTGTTCTCTGCTGGCCGTGGTGCTGCAGCAGCAGCAGCTGCTGCTGCAGCACCACGGCCAGCTGCCGCAGCAGCCGGCGTACCTGGTAATAAAGTCGGCTCGAATTAAGTGACTGGATCAAATCTGAAATGGCCTTTCGCTCTACGCAGATGTCCCTGTAAACTCCAGCAGCAGCAGCAGCAGCAGCAGCAGCAGCAGGAGTCCAAAATGTGTATTTGCCGTCTCTTTCGGCAGCCACTGCAGCAGCAGCATGACAGCGGCAGCAGCAGCCGCAGCCTCAGCAGCAACTGCAGCAGCAGCAGAAATAGCGGGAGCACAAGCAACAGCAGGCACAGCAGCAGCAGCAGCAGCAGCAGCAGCAGCAGCAGCAGCAGGGACGCACCTTGTCAGCACGTAGTCGCCTACTGTGATGGTGATGGGGTGTACGTACACCTGGCTGCGAAAGAGCTCGTAGGGAAGTGAGCAGCGCATTTCCCTAGCATCTACAATAACTGTTGGCTGCAGCTGCTGCCCTGCAGCAGCAGCAGCAGCAGCAGCTGCAGCAGCAGCAGCAGCAACGCCGCCGCCGCGCCAGCTGTTCAAAGCCTGCGACGGCTCTATGCCCACAGCACGCAGCTGCAGCAGCAGCGAGGCTTTTGCTGCCTGCACTTCTGCTGCTGTCTTTCCGCCGCTGCTGCTGCTGCTGCTGCTCTGCTGCTGCGCTGCAACGTGCAGCGCAGCCCGCAGCCGCTCCGGGCCCCACGGCTGCAGCTGCTGCAGCAGCTCCTCGCGCAGCAGCCGCTGCGGAGCCAGCAGCAGCAAATCATCTGTTACCAGCAGCAGGTGCTGCGCTGAGAACTCAATGTGCCTCCAAGCTGCTGCTTCTTCCTGCACGGAGTGTACGTACTGCTGCAGCAGCAAACTCTCCGCAGCAGCAACCAGATACACCCGAAGCTGCGACCCCACAAGCCGCTGCTGCTGCAGCCACTTCAGCAGCCTCGCGCAGGTCTTCTTTGCTGCTGCAGTTGCTGCTGCTTCAGCCCCCGCTGCTGCCGTTGCTGGTACCAACTCTGTTGCGCATGGGTCTGCAGTGGCCGCCGCTGCTGCTGCTGCTGCTGCTGCTGCTGCTGCTGCTTTCTCGCTGCCCGCAGCTGCAGGTGCAGCAGCAAAGGCAGCGAGGGCTCTCCTGATTTGCTGCTGCCGGTAAACAAAGGCACAGTAGTTTTCCAGCAGCCGCACACACGGCAGCAGCGGCGGCAGCAGCACAACTGCATGCGGCTGGTGCTGCTGCAGCACCAAAGACACTGCAGAAGTGCCCTCTGAGACACTCACAACCCGCGGTAGCGGGCGCACCCTGCAGCAGCAGCAGCAGCAGCAGCAGCAGCAGCAGCAGCAGCAGAGCTGGGGCTGAAGGGTCAGAGGCGTATCTCAAACAGCTCAAACGGTAAAGCTCGACAGTTCACACGCAGCCCAGGCGTGCAGCAGTAGCAGCAACAGCAGCAGAAGCAACAGCAGCAACAGCACAAAAAGCAACAGCAGCAGCAACAGCAGCAACAACAGCAGCAGCAGCAACGGAAATACTGACCGCAGCCCCCGCGTTCTCCAGCGCAGCGCCCTCCACAGCTCGCGGTCGGTGGGCCCCTCGGGATCAGCAGCAGCAGAAGCAGCAGCAGCAGCAGCAGCAGCAGCAGCAAACCCGTGGGGATGGCCCCCCATCATTTCCTCGACTCGAAGCGCCTGCTGCAGGAGCTGCTGCTCTGCTCTTCTGCTGCTGGTGAACCCGAGGCTGCTGCTGCGGGCGTCTGCGGACTCTGCTGCTGCTGCCGCTGCTGCTGCTGCTGCTGCAGCAGCCCCGTACGAACCAGCAGCAGCAGCAGACGCCCCGCCAGCAGCAAGGCCGCGCACGTAGCTGCTGAAACACCGCAGCAGCAGCTGCCGAGACCCCAGCAGCAAAGTCAAGCGCGCGCTGCAGCAAATGCTGTTGTCTCCGCCTATAATTAAAATGCGGTAAACGGGGCGGCGAAGCCGCTGCGCTTTGCGCGCCCCTGCTGCTGCTGCTGCTGCTGCTGCTGCTGCTGCTGCTGCTGCTGCTGGCCCGGCAGCAGCCGCCGCCGGGGGCGCGCCCTCATCAGGTTGCTGCTCTTCGGCGCATGTGGCGTTTCTCAATGTGCTGCTGCTGCTGCTGCTGTCGCTGCTGTCAGAGCTGCCTGCGCTGTCGCTGTTGCTGCTCTTGCTGCTGCTGCTGCTCTCGCTGCTGCGGATGTAGATACAGCCCGGCATCTCGGCTTCTGAGCTGCCCCCGTCAGGCCGGTCATTTGCTTGCTGCTGCTGCTGCTGGTTCCCGTCAGCCACAGAAGCAGCAGCAGCAGCAGCAGCAGCAGCAGCAGCAGGTGCTGCGCGCCGCTGCTCCCGCAGCAGCGCCTGGTATATGTCGTCGTCAACTTGGCAATTCCACACAAATTGCTGCAGCCACTCGAGAGCAGCAGGAGGCTCTAAGTGGAGTACAGCTCTCCTTTCATACTGCTGCTGTCCTGCTGCTGCTGCTGCTGCTGCTGCTGCTGCTCCGAGTCCCGGCGTTGCTGCAGTATCTGTCCGCTGCTGCTTCGCTGCGCTGCCGTTTTCCCCATATGAGAAGCTGGCAGCAGCAGCAGCAGCAGCTCCTGCTGTTGCTGCTCCACCAGCAGCAGAACCTCCTACAGGGACCCGCTTTGTCGTGTAAACCCTGCAAGAGCAGCAGCAGCAGCAGCAGCAGCAGCAGCTAAAGCAACTGACTCAGCTTAGCGAGAAAATGGCAGGTAAGTAAAGATGGCTGTGAAGACAGGCACCGCATTGCAGCAGCTGCAGCCGCAGCAATTTGCCGCTGCTCATGGTCTCGCTGCTGCTAGTGTTGCAGCAGCAGCAGCAGCAGCAGCAGCAGCAGCACTGACGCAAGAATGCACACCAGTGCGCCTGTCTGTGCCGCTCACAATCGAGACAGCAGCGGCAACAGCTCGCAGCAAGATAGGCAGCAGCAGCACAAAACAGCAGCAGCAGCAGCAGCACAAAACAGCAGCAGCCGCAGCAGCACAAAACAGCAGCAGCAGCAGCAGCAACACAAGCAGCAGCAGCAGCAGCAGCAGCAAAGGACCTCTGCCTAGCTCTCCTTAAGATAACCTGCAGCTCCGTGGTGTGGCCCCAGGCCTCGTCAATAGTTTTGCTGCTGAGGAGAGACTCCAAGTAAGAAAGAAAAGAAACACAATTCAGCCGCCACAGCAGAAACACCAGCCGCCGCAGCTCGCCCAAGTCCTGCAGCAGCAGCAGCAGCAGCAGCAGCAGCAGCGGCAGCGCTGTAGGTAAGAAGGCCACCCCTGCCGTGGGGTCCCTAGTAGAACTGCAGGCCACAGCGGTAGCAGCAGCAGCAGCAGCAGCGACAGCAGCAGCCGCGTAGAGTCGCGGCTGACGCCAGCAAACGCTGCGGCGCCCGTAAAGCGCTTAGGCGGCAGCCACAACAGCAGCAGCAGCAGCAGCAGCAGCAGCAGCAGCAGCTGCCAGCGCAGCGGCTTACTGCGACCAGCGCCTTTGTCTTTGGGTCCAGCTGATGCCACACGGAGTTGAGGGCTCTTCTCAAAGAGCCCCCCACCGGGGCCCTGTGCTGCAGCTGCTGCTGCTGCTGCTGCTGCTGCTGCTGCTGCTGCTGCTGCTGCTGCTGGTCTTCAGCAGGCAGCGGGGGAGGCGCTGGACCCCTGAAAAGACAAGAAACCTCCCAGTCCTGCAGCAGCCCGGGGCGGCACTTCTTCAGCTGCTGCAGCCCCCGCTGCAGCAGCAGCAGCAAAGCCTGCTGAATCTCCAGCTGCAGCGAAGACGGCGGCAGGCAAATTTCGCAAGTTTGCGGCTGCGAGGCTCCCTGCAGCGCAGCAGCAAGACACATTGCATGCACTTTGCTGCTGCTGCTGCTGCTGCTGCTGCTGCTGCTGCTGCAGTTGATGCGACGTTTGCGGCGGTCTCGTCCGTGTATCAGCTGGAGACTTGCGAAGCCAGCAGCAGCAGCAGCAGCAGCTGCTGCTGCTGCTGCTGCTGCTGCACGCTCTGTTGCTGCTGCTACTTCTGCTGCTGTACCTCTAAGCTTTCCGTTACATCTTCGTGCATGCGGCTCATGCGCTGGACCTTCTTTAGCTGCAGCAGCTTGAGAGTCTGCGTGAGGTTGCAGCTGCTGCTGCTGCAGCTGCTGCTGCTGCTGCTGGCAGCAAAATGGTGCGGCCTATCACTTATCGCCTTCAGACCTCCCACTCTGTTGCGCTGTCTGTACACCCGACAGACGAAGGCCTCATGAAACCCTCCGCTGATGCTGCAGCAGCAAGACGCAGCAGCAGCAGCAGCAGCAGCAGCAGCAAACAGCAACGCTCATACGCAACAACTGCAGCACCAGCTGCAGCATCTGTGTCCCTGTGTACCTGCCAGCAGCAGCAGCAGCAGCAGCAGCAGCAACGCCAACGGCAGCCGCCTGCCGGTGCCGTATGTGCTGCTGCTGCGCTACCTGCTGCTGCGCAGCCGCGCCAACCCCGCTAGCCTCTGCTTTGCTGCTGCTGCAGCTGCTGCTGCAGCAGCAGCTGCTGCTGCTGCTGCTGCTGCTGCTGCTGCTGCTGCTGCTGCTGCTGCTGCACGACGACGACGAATGCGTTCGGCGCGCACGAAGACAATGCAGTCAACAACTTCTGGAGGCAAACGGCCAGTGAGAAGGTCGGAAGCAGCAACAGCAGCAGGGCAGCAGAAGCAGCCGCCGCCGATGTACATTTGCTGCCGCTGCTGCCAGGTGGTGGCTGCTGCTGCTGCTGCGTTGCTGCTGCTGCTGCTGCTGCTGCTGCAGGCGAGGCGCAGCTCCTCTGCGCGCTGCTGCCGCTCCAGCTCAGCCAGGGCTGCCAGCGCCGCTGCATGCTCTGCTGCTGCGGCTTCTGCTGCTGCTGCAGTGCTGCTGCTGCGCAAGCGCACCTCAGCAGCAGCTGCTGCTGCCTGCAGCAAACGGCGCTGCTCACTGTGCTGCCGCTGCTGCAGCGCATGCACTGCTGCATGCTCTGCTGCAGCAAGCCCCAGCACCAGCACCAGCCGCGGCCAGGCTGCGCTGTATAAGGGCCGCCGCAGCTGCTGCTGCTGCTGCTGTTGCTGCTGCTGCTGCTGCTGCTCACATTCCTCTTGTTCGTCGGAGAACACAGAGCTGAAGATGCCCCCGCCGCCGTTTTGCTGCTGCTCCTGCTGCTCCTGCTGCTGCTCGGAGCTGCCACTGCTGCTGCTGCTGCTGCTGCTGCCGTTGCTGCTGCTGCCACCTTTGCTTTTGTCTCTCTGCTGCAGCAGCGACAGGAGCTGCAGCAGCACCCCGTCGGCGTCGAGGCCTCTGCTGAGCAGCAGCAAGCAGTCCTGCTGGTGCAGCAGAGCAGCAGCTCGTTGCACGTACTGCAGCTGCTGCTGCTGCCCTGCTGCAGCAGCAGCAGCAACGCAGTCTAGGGCAGCCTCAGGCTTCATGGCTTCGAAGGGGCTCTGGAGCACCACATTGGGGCAGCAGCTGCTACTTCTGCTGCTGCTGCTGCAGTTGCTGCACTTGCTGCACTTGCTGCAGCAGCAGCTGTCATTGCTGCAGTTGCCTTCAGTACATTGGGATTCTACGGGAGCCTAAGGGGCCTCACAGGTAATAACGGCTGCAGCAGCACGCCACGCAACTCGCTGCGGCTGCTGCTGCTGCAGGCTTCGTGTGTGGCTGCTGCTGCTGTTGCTGCTGCTGCTGCTGCTGCTGCTGGGAGTAAGAGGCGCAACCGGCGTGCACGCAGAGACACGGCAGCAGCAGCCCGTGCTCTGCTGGAGCTGCGATGTGCCTCTTTGTGTCTGGTGGTCAGACCCCTCAAGACTTCGTTGCTGCTGCTGCTGCTGCTGCCGCTGCTGCTGCTGCCGCTGCTGCAGTTGTTGGACTAGCAGCTCTTTCTGCTGTTGCGCCTTCCAGGGGCAGCAACTGAAGTAAGTTTCAGAAAGCCTTCATCGACCGAATCGATGCTGCTGTTGCTGCTGCTGCTGCTGCTCGCGCAGCAGCAGCTGCTGCTGCCATGGGACTGCTGCCGACGGGCTGATTGCAGCAGCGTCTGCGCCCCTGCCAGCAGCAGCGGGGCAGCAGCAAGCCAGTTTATTTGTCTCTATTGGAACTAAACGCAATATTAATGAAAAAGAAAACACTTAAAGGAGCATTGTCATCAGCAGCAGCAGCCGGACACCGCCTCTGCTCTGCATGCCCCCTGCAGCGCAGCAAACGAGCAGCTGCAGCAACTGCAAGAGCTGGAACGCCAGCAGCAGAACCTGCAGCGTTAGAAGCAACAGCAGCAGCAGCAATAATATATGCTTTAGAGGCACCAGCAGCAGCGGAGGCGTTCCGAAGGCTTCGCGCGCAGCAGCAGCAAGAGGGGCGCCGAAGGCAGCAGCAGCAACAGCAGCAGCAGCAGCAGTAACAGCAGCAGCAGCAGCTTTCCGTGTGAACGAGAGGCTGCGCTCTTCAGTAGAAGCAGAGAGGCTGAAGCATAAGTCCCTACAAGGAGGACAGCAGCAGCAGCAGCAGCAGCAGCAGCAGCAGCAGCAGCAGCAGCAAAGATGAAGAAGGGATCTGGGCCCACTCCACCGGAGAAGCGGCAGCAGCGTCAGCAGCCCCCGCTGCTGATCCGCGCTCTGAATGTGCAGCAGCACAAGTGGGACAAGGCAAGCCAAGCCCTGCTGCTGCTGCTGCTGCTGCTGTTGCTGCTGTTGCTGTTGCTGCTGCTTGCTGTTGTTGCTGCTGCAGGTCGTTCGTTTCTTCTGCTGCTGCTGCGATTCTCCCTGACGACATGCTGCTGCAACCACAGCTTAGCGTCTGTTTGTCAGCTTCCGTTCCTGCTGCTGCAGCACGAGTATTGTTAGCAGCAGCAGCAGCAGCAGCAGCTGCTGCTGCAGCAGCATCCGCCGCGGAAAGCCGCCTCCCCATGCGTGTGCCCTGTGCGTGTGTCTGCTGCTGCTGCTTCTTCCGCCGCTGCTTGCGCTGCTGCCTCTTCTGCTGCTGCCTCTTCTGCTGCTGCTGCGCCGCTGCTGCTGCTGCTGCTGCTGCTGCGCTGCTGCTGCTGCTGCGGGGTCCAGATGGACTGCAAGAACGTGCTTTTTTGGCTGAAGCAGCTGACGGGCCTCACAGTTGGCTTCTCGTTGGGCTTTAATCAATTAAGTGGAATTCATTTCTTCTTTTTGTTTCTTCTTTGCCAATTTTCCATTTCCTTCGCTTGGGTCAAAAAGGCCAGCCCCAAGCCTTTGCTGCTGGACCTCCCCGCCGTCGCCACCGAGGCCCTCGCCCCCGCACTCGGCATCTTCGTCGTCCGTCGCCGCTGCTGCTGCTGCTGCTGCTGCTGCTGCAAATGCTGCTGCTGCAAATGCTGCTGCTGCTGCTGCTGCAAATGCTGCTGCTGCTGCAAATGCTGCTGCTGCTGCTGCAAATGCTGCTGCTGCAAATGCTGCTGCTGATGCTGATGCTGCAAATGCTGCTGCTGCAAATGCTGCTGCTGCTGCTGCAAATGCTGCTGCTGCTGCTGCAAATGCTGCTGCTGCAAATGCTGCTGCTGATGCTGCAAATGCTGCTGCTGCTGCTGCAAATGCTCCTGCTGATGCTGCGAATGCTGCTGCTGATGCTGCAAATGCTGCTGCTGCTGCTGCAAATGCTGCTGCTGCTGATGCAAATGCTGCTGCTGATGCTGGTGATGCTGCGGGTGCTGATGCTGCTGCTGCACATGCTGCTGCTGCTGCACATGCTGCTGCTGTTGCTGGTGATGATGCTGCTGTGGTGGCTGCTGCTGTGGGTGCTGCGGTTGCTGATGCTGCTGCGGTGGTCTTTGCTGCTGCTGCTGTAGTTGCTGCTGCGTTTGTTGCTGCAGTGGCGGCCCTGTCTTGAGCCCCTGCTGCTTTTTATGTGGCTAGTGCTGCTGTTGCTGCTGCTGCTGCTGGAGGCTTTTGTGGGCTCCTTGCTGCTTGATATGTTGTTGCTGCTGCTGCTGCTGCTGTTGCTGCTGCAGCTGGCGTGGACGGTCAGCTTCAGCGTTTGGTACCCGCGATGACTTCGCAGCATCCAGAAGCAGCTGCAGCAGCAGCAGCAGCAGCAACGAAAGCAGCAGCAGCAGCAGCAGAGCCCGCAGTGCAATCAATGTCAGCACAACTGAGGCAGCAGCAGCAGGAGCAGCTGCAGCAGCAGCAGCAGCTGCTGCTGCTGCTGCTGCCGCTGGCACCGCTGCTGCTGCAACTGCTGCAGCAGCAGCAGCTGCTGCTGCTGCTGCTGTAGGCTGCAGCCCTTTTGGGCCTTCTGGCTCCGCCTGCCTCGCTTTTTCCTAGAGAAGACTTTTATTATTTATTTATCTTTTTGTCTTTTTGCTTCTGAGACTTTTGCTGCTGTTCATTTCTTTTTGTCTTTTTGGCTTTCTTCTTTTTTCATTTTCTTTTTCTTTTTTATCTTTTTGTCTTTTGTTTCCTTGCTGTGAGCTGCGCTGCTTTGGTGCTGGCTCTAGGTCTGCTGCTGCTGCTGCTGCTGCTGCTGCTGCTGCTGCTGCGCTTGGCTGCTGCTGCTGCGCTTGGCTGCTGCTGCTGCGCTTGGCTGCTGCTGCTGCGCTTGGCTAGCGCTTTCTGTCCCTTTTGAGGTCTCTGCTGCGTCTCGAACGGCCTCTGCTGCTGCAGTGGGATCGCTTCTGCTGCTGCTGCTGCTGCTGCTGCTGCTGCTGCTGTCCATGCCTGTAGGCTTTGCTGCCGATTGTTACATAGCCGCAGCAGCAGCAGAAGCAAATCAGCCTCTACGGAGGCAAGCCGCAGAAGCAGCAAGCCCAAACCCTAAACCCTCGAGGGTTTAGGGTTTGGGGGCCACCTTTGAGGGTTTAGGGGCCACCCTCGAGGGTTTAGGGTTTAGGGGCCACCCTCGAGGGTTTAGGGTTTGGGGGCCACCCTCGAGGGTTTAGGGGCCACCCTCGAGGGTTTAGGGTTTAGGGGCCACCCTCGAGGGTTTAGGGTTTAGGAGCCACCCTCGAGGGTTTAGGGTTTAGGGGCCACCCTCGAGGGTTTAGGTCCTGTTGAGGGTTTACGCTTTAAGCTCCAGAGGACTACGCCTAGGGTTTAGGCTATGGGGGAAACCCTCTAGGGTTTAGGGGTTTGACTCGAGAAGGGTTTAGGGTTTGTGGTTTAGGGTTTCGGGTTTACCCACTGAACTTCAGGTTCAAAATTTAAACTAAAAGGTCTGGGGATTGCACTCGAGGGATTAGGGTTTGCCCTAGGGTTTAGGGTTTACCCTAGGGTTTGGGTTTTCCCCCTAGGGTTTAGGGTTTACCCTAGGGTTTAGGGTTTACCCTAGGGTTTAGGGTTTACCCTAGGGTTTGGGTCTCCCCAGCTAAAGTTGCTGCAGGGCGCGGAAGGTGGGGCTGGGGTTTGCGCCGGAGGCGTGCAGCGCCGCCAGCGCGCCAGCGCTAAACCCCAAACCCTAAACCCTAATTTAGGGTTTAGGGTTTAGGGGCACTTGCGGTCCACGCAGCCGCGAGCCCCGAACTCGCTGTACTCCTGCAGAGTTACAGCTAGCTGCGAAAAGGTGCCTAGACACCCCACGATGGAGCCCCCAATCCAGCTAGCCATGTGGCGCTCGACAGCTCCTCTGCTGCAGACCAGCCGCAAGCTGCTGCTGCTGCTGCTGCTGCTGCTGCTGCTGCTGCTCCCGTGCGCGCGCGCGCCCCCCACCCCCGCGCACAAACGCGGCAGCTGCGCAGAAAACCACACGCGCAAACCCCTCCTGCTGCTGCTCCTGCTGCTGCTGCTGCTGCTGCTGCTGCTGCTACTTCTGCGCTTGCTGCTCCTGCTGCAGAGCCTGCTGCTGCTCCTGCTGCTGCTCCCGTTGCTCATCTCTGCCCCAAGTAGCTGTGCTCCCACCACTACTACCGCTGCTGCTGCTGCTGCTGCTGCTTATATCTGCCTCGAGTATCCGTCCTATTCCTACCACTACTGCTGCTGCTGCTGCTGCTGCTGCTGCTCTCTGCCTCGAGCACCTGCCGTACCCCTCCTCCTCCTACCACTACCCGCTCCCCTCCCCTCACCCCGCTGCTGCTGCTGCTGCTGCTGCTGCTGCTGCTGCTGCTGCTGCTTATATCTGCCTCGACTATCCGCCCTATCCCTACCACTACTGCTGCTGCTGCTGCTGCTCTCTGCCTCGAGCATCTGCCGTACCCCTCCTCCTCCACTACCCGCTCCCCTCCCCTCCCCCCGCTGCTGCTGCTGCTGCTGCTGCTGCTGCTGCTGCTGCTGCTGCTGCTGCTCACCTCTGCCTTGAGAGTCTGCACAAATCCTGGGAACTGGGAGCCGCCGCCCGCAAGAACTAAAGCCCCCAAGACATCTCTTTTTGCTGTTCGCTGGCAGCTTTCTGCGCACTTGCGGATGCACTCGAGGACTCCTGCAGGTGCTGCTGCTGCTTCCTGCTGCTGCTGCTGCTGCTGCTGCTGCTGGGCCGCCGTGACGATGCCCGCCGCAGCAGCAGCAGCAGCAGACCCGCAGTCCGGCTGCAGCAGCAGCCGGTGCTGCTGCCGCAGCGCAGCAGAAAACAAAATGTTCGGAACTGTCTTTTCTATGCTTGAGCAAACTGTGGGGGGAATTACAGTGCCGTCTGGCAGCACGTAAGGCTCCTCTGCTGCTGCTGCTGCTGCTGCTGCTGCTGCTGCTGCTTCGGGCGCTTCGGAGGCCTTTGCTTCTTCGCCGCCGCTGCTGCTGCTGCTGCTGCTGCACTTGCCCAGCAGCTGCAGCAGCACCTCCAGGACGTGCTGCTCGCCGAACTCGCGGAAGCTCTTCGTCTGTGCAGGTGCTGCTGCTGCTTCCTGCTGCTGCTGCTGCTGCTGCTGCTGCTGGGCCGCCGTGACGATGCCCGCCGCAGCAGCAGCAGCAGCAGACCCGCAGTCCGGCTGCAGCAGCAGCCGGTGCTGCTGCCGCAGCGCAGCAGAAAACAAAATGTTCGGAACTGTCTTTTCTATGCTTGAGCAAACTGTGGGGGGAATTACAGTGCCGTCTGGCAGCACGTAAGGCTCCTCTGCTGCTGCTGCTGCTGCTGCTGCTGCTGCTGCTGCTTCGGGCGCTTCGGAGGCCTTTGCTTCTTCGCCGCCGCTGCTGCTGCTGCTGCTGCTGCACTTGCCCAGCAGCTGCAGCAGCACCTCCAGGACGTGCTGCTCGCCGAACTCGCGGAAGCTCTTCGTCACGTGCGGGCAGGGAACGACGACCCGGCTCTGCTGCTGCTGCTGCTGCTGCTGCGGGGCTGCTGCAGCAGCAGGAGCCTCCCCGGGCGGCTGCTGCTGCTGCTGCTGCTGCTGGGGAATCACCGCGAAGCCCGGGGTGATGGGCACCTGCTGCTGCTGCAGCAGGTGCCGCGTGACCGCCAGCAGCTGCCGGCAACCCAGCGGAATCTCCTGCTGCAGTCGCTGCAGCAAAAAGCCTTCTTGAACAGCAGCAACGCTGCAGTTGCTGTGGCCCACATCGCACACAATGGCAGAAGTCCGCGCGCAGCCAAAGGCAGCCAGCACTGCCTTCCGCACCAGCAGCAGCTCGGGCACCTGCAGCAGCAGCAGCAGCAGCAGCAGCAGCAGCAGATGTGGCAGGGGAGCATCCGCCGCGGACTCAGCAGCAGCAGCAGCAGCAGTGGCCCCACCGCACAACCAGCAGCAGCAGCAACCTCAACAACATCAAGTCCTCTCCAACCGCCAGCAGCAGCAGCAACACCACCTCCAGAAGCAACACAAGCAGCAGCAGCAGCGCCACCACCAGCAGCAGCAGCGCCACCAGCAGCAGCAGCGCCAGCAGTAGCAGCAGCAACACCAGCAGCAGCAACACCGCCACCAGCAGCAAAACTGCGCCAGTAGCAGCAGCACCAACACCAACACCAGCAGCAGCAGCAGCAGCACCAACAGCAGCAGCAGCAGCAGCAGCAGCAGCAGCAGCAGCGTGCCTGGAGGAACTCGAAGGCCAGTTCTGCAAAGGCTTCTCGGATTTGTTTGTTGCAGATGTTTGGCTCGGCCAGCAGCAGCCCTCTTTCGTAAGTGGCCACGCCCAGACACCTGGGGCCAGTGACCTCCTCCACCAGCCGCTCCAGGCCCTGCAGCAGCAGCAGCAGCAGCAGCAGCAGCAGCAGCAGCAGCAGCAGCAGCGGCAGCAGCGGCTCCATCAGGCCCTGCCGCAACGGCAGCAGCAGCAGTAAAGCGCCAACGCCAACCGCAGCACCCTCGCCACGCCCCCTCTCAGCAGCAGCAGCAGCAGCAGCGGCAGCAGCAGCAGCAGCAGCAGCAGCAGCAGCAGCAGCAGCAGCAGCAGCGGACTTGTCTGTGCAGCACGTAAGTGCCGGGCTGGTCCACTCTGGAGGCCCTGTAGTCGAGGACGGGAAGGACTTCGACGTGGTCTGCCTTTTCGAGGGGGTTGAGGAACTGCTGCAGCAGCACGGGCTTTGCTGCTGCTGCTGCTGGGGCCGCGCTGCTGCTGCCCGCAGCAGCAGCAGCAGCAGCAGCAGCGCTGCAGCCTGCTGCTGAGCCGCTCTCCCCAACAGCAGCAACACCCACTACTGAACGAGTCACCATTCTTGGCAGCGCCTCTCCAGCAATTCCGGCCTTCAGGGAGTGGCAGCCCAGGTCAATTACTAGTGGGGTCGACATCTTGCTGCTGCTGCTGCTGCAGCTGCTGCTGCTGCTGCTGCTGCTGCTGCTGGGGGGGTCTTTGCTGCTGTGGCAGCAGCTGTTGCGGCCGATGCTCTCGGTGCTGCCGCTGCTGTTGCCGCGGCTTTGTGGTCGGTGGGGAGGGGCCGCAGCAGCAGCAGCCGCTGCAGCAGCAGCTGCTGCTGCAGTCACGCTGGATTACGCAGATCTGGGGCCTCTGTGGTGCAGCGGAGTTGCTGCTGCTGCTGCCTGTGCTGCAGCTGCAGCAGCGCAGGCAGCAGAGGGGCCCTTGTTGGTGCTGCGGCGCTTCGCAGGTGTATGTACACTCCAATTAATGTTAAGTAGACACACTTTTAGCTTATCTCTTGCTGCTGCTCGTGCACTCAGTGCCTCCTCGAGCCTGGCGTTGTCTGCTGCTGCTGCTGCTGCTGCTGCTGCTGCCTCGCCTGGCAGCGCAGGGAGGGTCTTTGGCCTCTAGCGACGCCCCCAGCAGCAAAAAAAGACCCTTTTTGCCGTTTCGGCTTTTTGGGTTTCTTTTTTTAAAGGCGGCGCTGCATGCAGGTACAGCAGCAGCAGCAGCAGCTGCTGCTGCTGCTGCTGCTGCTGCTGCAGCCCCACGTGCCTCAGCAGCAGCAGCAGCATACAGTGAAGCACCGGCGGCTGACCGTTGCTGACTGCTGCTGCTGCGGCTGCTGCTGCTGCTGCGCTTTGTCTTGCTGCTCAGAGCTGATTCTTGCTGAAATAAGTATATGTTTTGAATGTTTTCCCCAAAGACAAGTAATTTGTTGCTGCAGGCGGTGCTGCGGCTGCTGCTGTTGCTGCTGCTGCTGCTGCTGCTGTCTCCTGGGCCTGACGCCTAGAGGGACCACTGCCGCCGAAGGCCTCAACCACACTCTCGCCTTCCCGCTGCAGCAGCAGCAACAGCAAGTTCCCTTTTACTCTTTTCATTTTTTTGTTCCAGGAAGGCAGCAAAAAAGCCCGCAGCAGCAGCAGCAGAAGCGACTGCAGCAGCAACAGCTGCAGCAGCACTGGCCACAGCCGCGCCAGCGGCAACAGCAGCACGAGCTGCCCAGGCAGCAGCAACAGCCCAGACAGCTGCAGCAGCAACAACAGCAGCAGCAGCATCAGCTGCAGCAGACAAAGACGCGAGCCAGAGGAGTAACGGCCGCAGTGGCGGCAGCTGCAGCACCAACAGCCGCAGCAGCATCGACAGCAGCAGCAGCGACTGCAGCAGCAGAAGCAGCAGCAACCTGCTAAAATAATGAAATTCTTCTCAGCTTTGTGTTTGCGGGTCGCGACGGCCTTGCTGCTGGCGTTGCTGCTGCTGCAGCAGCAGCTGCTGCAGCAGCCCTGGCTCGGGCCAGCAACCGCGGTGGCCGCAGCCGCGGAGACCTCCGTAGCGGCAGCAAGGGCGCCCGCAACAGCAGCAGCAGCAGCAGCAGCAGCAGCAGCAGCAGAAGCAGCAGCAGCTCGAGATCACGTATCACTGGAGTTTCCGCGTCTGAAGCTTCTCTTTGAGGCCTCCGAAAACAGCATCTCCACTTCTCAATTTCCTTTAGAAACATACCGGAAGATCTGGAAGATCTTTGGGCAGGTGCTGAAGCAAGCGAGGCAGCAGCAGCAGCAGCAGCAGCTGCAGCAGCAGCAGCAGCAGCAGCGCGGGCATCCGCACAGCCCGTCGCCCTACCCCGAGTTCGTCGTCCGGGGCATCCCAGGCTTCGTCTTGGGCGGCATCCACGAGCTGCACTTTGCCTGCCGCTTGCTGACCAGCAGCAGCAGCAGCAGCAGCAGCAGCAGCAGCAGCAGCAGCAGCAGCAGCAGCGCGGGGATGTCTGTGCTGATGTGCAGCGGGCAGCCGCCTGCTGGCAGCGGGGAAACTGTGGCCTCGTTCGGGCTCGAGCTGGTGGGGGGCGTGTTTCCCGCAGCAGCAGGGCGGCGGGGCCCGGCAGCAGCAGCAGCAGCAGCAGCAGCAGCAGCAGCAGCAGCAACTTGCAAGCTGGGGCTGCGGAACTGGCGGCGCGACGAAGCCACCCTCAGCAGCTACTTAAGAGCTGCTGTGGGGCTTTGTGCTGCACTGGGCTACGGCCACCAGGTGTACGTACACCCCAACGGCCCCGTGCTGGAGTACTTGCCTCAGTTGAATCCCCAAAGCATTTTGGGTTTGGGATTTCTTTCAACAGCTTCTCGGTACTTGGAGTTTGGAGAAGCAGCTCCGTTGGCAGCAGTGAACCCGAGTCCTGCTGCTGCTGCTGCTGCTGCTGCTGCTGCTGCTGCTGCGCCCGCTGCAGCGGCCAGCGACCCCCACCGCGAGGAAGCAGCAGCAGCAGCGCTGCAGGCCCCGGGGCCCCTCAGCAAACTCGCCTGGCTGGGGGCCCCCCTGGGCCAAAATGTCTTGCGAGAAGCTTTGGAGAAAATAAAAAAAGGAATGGAAGCAGCAGTTTTGGTGGAGGGGCCCTCGGGGCCCTCGGAAGAGGGTTGTTCTTTGCTGCTGGGGCTGCAGCAGGAGGCGTTCAAGTTGCTGGCAGCAGCAGGGGCCCCCAGCTGCAGGCCGGGGGGCCTGCTGCTGCAGTGCAGCAGGGAGCTGCAGCAGCGGTGGTCCAGCGAGGCGCAGGCTGCTGCGCTGCTGCTGCTGCAGCAGCTGGAGGCGGCGCTGCCGCAGCAGCTGCTGCAGGGCAGCCGCATGCTGCGGCTGCTGAAGCAGCCCGGCGTGTGGCTGCTGCTGCAGCGGCTGCTCGGCGGCGCTGCTGCAGCACGCCTCGAGGCCCCGCAGCAGCAGCAGTGGTACGCAGCAGACATGCTGCTGCTGGGGCCCCACAACTTCCAGCAGCAGCCCTACAACAAAATGGGCTTTTCAGCAGCAACTTTGCTTTCCGAGCTGCTGCGCTTCAGCACTTTCTTTCTGGACCTTTCCAGCAGCAGCAGCTACTGGAGTTCCATGGGTTGGGGCTGCATCTTCGAGCAGATGGCTCTTGCTGCTGCTGTTGGTTCTGTCTTCCACAGGTTTGCGCCCCTGGGGGTCTCGCGGCTGCAGCGCGCAGCAGCAGCAGCAGAAGCTGTTGCTGCTATGACTGCTGCTGCTGCTCCTCCGGAGCAGGACGAGGGGCCTTTCGCGGGGGCTTCCGGGCGCCGCTCGCCCTCCCCGCAGCAGCGGCGGCTGCAGCAGCAGCTCGAGCAGCAGCAGCAGCAGCAGCAGCAGCAGCGGCGGCAGCACAAGCGGCAGCGGTCGGCGTCGCTGCTGCAGGTGGGGTCGCAGCGCTCGGGGCTGTGGGACTCCCCAATGGGCCACTACGCGCGGCAGCAGCAAGCAGCAGCAGCAGCAGCGTCGCAGCAGCTGAGTTCCGGTTTGCTGCTGCGGCCGGTGATGCCTGCGTACGACTTCAGGGAGCTGCAGGAGCTGGCAGCAGCAGCAGCAGCAGAGCTGCAGGCGGGCAGCAGCAGCAGCCTGGAGGCGCGGGCAGCAGCAGCGCGGCGGCTGTGGCTGGAAAGCCCCCTCTTCAAAGCTGGCAGCAGCCTTCTCATCAAAAAAGTCCCCACCAGAGAAAATGGACCAATGGACCTGACCATTGTCTGCAGCAGCAGCGGCTACTTCCCAGTCACTGCCAACTTGGCTGGCTGGCTTTCCCCGCTGCTGTGCGAGCCGCACTACAGCCCGCGGGGGGCCCCACAGTCTGCGGGCAGTTCGGGCAGCAGCAGCCCGGAGTGGGGTTCTCCGGTGCCCTTGCGGCGGCGCCGCAGCAGCAGCAGCAGCAGCAGCAGCAGCAGCAGCAGCAGCAGGGAGCCCCGCAGCAGGCTGATCGGGATGGAGTTCGAGAACAAGCCCCCCTTCCGCTGCGGAGTGGGCTTTCTGGGCAACGAGGCGCAGCCAGAAGAACTCGAAGTGCCCGGGAAGCTGCTGCTGCAGCTGCTGCTGGGGCTCTGTTTGCTGCACGGCTTCCACACTGTGTGGCTGCTGGACTCAGCAGCAAATGTGCATTCCCGCGAACTCCTCAAGTTCGCAATGGCAGCAGAAGCTGCCACTTCTTACTACGAGAGCAGCGGCTTCCTCTTCAGCGTGGACACAGTGCTGCAGCGCCACAGCCCCGTGGTTTGCGGCTCCTTCGAGGCCCCCAGCAGCAGCAGCAGCAGCAGCAGCAGCAGCAGCGAGGACGAGCAGCAGCAGCAAGAACTCGAGGCCATCTGCGCTGTCCACTCCGACTTGCTGCAGACTCCAGGCTCAGACCCCACAGTTCTTTTTCCCTTGAAAGATGTGGCTTTCAAGTTGCTGCAGGGCCTCACTTTCGACTGCAGCGCCCCCTCCTGGGCGGGCTGCAACAGCAGCAGCAGCAGCAGCAGCAGCAGCAGCAGCAGCAGCAGCGGGGACCTGTTCCCGCTGCTGCGGCTGCTGCCAAACGGCCGCTGCGCCTTCCAGGAGCAGCAAATGTGGCAGCAACTTGCGCAGCAAAGTCCGAAGCACTGCGGGCTGGGGGCGCGGGTGGGGGCCTGCCACAAGTGGGTGCGGCAGCAGCTGGGCTGCAGCAGCAGCAGCAGCAAAGGCTGCCCCTACCTCAAGTTTCTTTACTCCAACTTCATCACTCCGGGCTCAGACCCTTCGCAGAAGCTGCCTGCTGCTGTGGCTAGCTACTGGGAGGCCCACGGCCGGCAGCTAGCTGCTGCTGCTCGCGAGTCGCCGCGGCAGCTGCTGCTGCAGCTGCTGCAGAAGGAGGTCGACAGCTGCAGCAGCAGCAGCAGCCTGCAGCGCGAAATGCAGCGCCTCGGCATTGACTGCCAGCAGCTGCAGCGGGACGGAGAGCTGCTGCAGGAGGTGCTGCAGCACTCCCTGCTGCTGGTCGACTACACCAGCCTGCCCCAGTTCTGGGTGTCGCGCGCAGCAGCAGCAAACGTTGCACCAGCAGCAGCAGCAGCAGCAGCAGCAGCAGCAGCAGCGCAACACCAACCCCAGTGCCCTGCTTCCTTTGCCTGGGAATTCATTCGCCGCATGCAGGGCCAAATGTACAAACACGTCAGCACCTCCAGACCCTCCATAGGCACTGCAGCAGCAATTCGCCCCCACGACCCAGACGAAGAGCGGCATTAGCAGCAGCAGCAGCAGCAGCAGCAGCAGCAGCAGCAGCAGCGGGAGCTGCAGCAGCAGCACGAGCAGCAGCAGCAGCAGCAGCGGGAGCTGCAGCAGCAGCACGAGCAGCTGCAGAACAGGCAGCAGCAGCAGCAGAAAATCTTGCTGCTGCATCAGCAGCCAAAGTAGCTGCATCGGCAGCGAAACAAGCAGCTGCAGCAGCAGCGGCAGCGGCAGCAGCAGCAGAAAATTTAGCAGCAGCATCGACAGCCGAACTAGCAGCGCGGCCAGCGAAACAAGCAGCAGCAGCAGCAGCGGCAGATGCAGCACCTGCAGCAGCAGAAGATTTAGCGGCAGCCTTGGCAGCCGAACTAGCAACATTGGCAGCGCGACAAGCAGCTGCAGCAGCAGCTGCAGCAGCTACAGCAGCAGCAGCAGCTACAGCAGCAGCAGCAGCAAACAAGCCGCAGCATTCTCTTGAAGCAGTTGGCTTTTGTAGGAAGGCTCTGGGTCTCAGCAGCAGCTAGCGCGACGGAGGCGTTTTGCTGCTGCCCCCAGAGCCTTCAGTACACTCCTAGCTGCTGCTGCTGCTGCTGCTGCTACTGCTGCTGCTGCTGCTGCTGCATTTTCTTTTAGTAGTTCCCACGCGGGTACATTGTTTTGGCCCAATTTGTATTTTCTTTTAAAGCCCAGCAGCAACTGGTGCAGCAGCTGTCTGTACACCCCAGGGCGCAGAAGCAGCTGCATGCACTTTTCCACTTTTGCTGCTGCACTTCGCGGCTCCAGGCTTTCTCAGCCGCTGCTGCTGCCTCTTAGGGTTTAGGGTTTAGGGTTTAGGGCTAAGATTCAGCGCACCGAGCCACCAGCTTCACTTTTCAGGGTTTAGGGTTTAGGGTTTAGGGTTTGGGGTTTCCCTGCAGGCTCAGTCTTTGTCGGCTGTCGCTTTTCGTGCAGAGGGGCCACTGGCGGCCACCACGTTTGGGTTGGTTGAGGGTTTAGGGTTTAGGGTTTAGGGTTTAGGGTTTGAGATTTAGATCTTGAGGGTTTAAGCTTCTTAAGCGGCAGCTAAACCATGGAAGACCAGGAGCAAAAGAACGCAGCAGCAGCAGCAAGAGCACTCTTTGGTTGCTGCTGCTGCTGCTGCTGCTGCTGCCAGAGTCTAACAAAACTACTCCAAATCTTTTCATGTGCTTCTGGGCTTTTAACCTTCGCCCTTTAAGGGGCCCCCTTAGGGCCCCAGGGGCCCCCAGGGGCCCCCGAGGGGCCCCCAGAAGACCCCTTGGGGGCCCCTGGGGGGCCCCTGGGGGGCCCCCGCCCATAAATGTTCTTCTTGAGGACGAATTTTTCTTTTTTATATTTTTATAAACTCATTTTAATGTCATGAAAGGCCTTAGGGGCCCCCCAGTCCCTGGGGCCCTCCTGCAGGCGTGGCTGGGGGGCCCCCCAGCCAGGTTTGCTGCTGCTGCTGCTCGGGTGTGCCCCTCCTATGAGCTCACGGGGCCCCGCCGTGCTGCAGCCAGCTGCTCAGCTGCTGCTGCTGCTGCTGCTGCTGCTGCTTGCAGTTGGAGCGGCAGGGCTTCCCACTCGCTGAGGCCTTGCAGCGTTGCTGCTCCTGCTGCAGCTTCTGCTGCAGCTCCTGCTGCAGCTCCTGCTGCAGCTTCTGCTGGCAGCAGCCGCTGCAGCAGTACGTCTTGTCGAGCCTCCTCAGCAGCAGATGCCGACGCACAGCTCGCTCTAGAGCAGCAGCAGCAGCAGCAGCAGCTGCTGCTGCAGATGCAGCAGCAGTGGGTACGCAGCGCTCCTGAGAGCCACGTGCTAGCGAAGCAACCACTTCGGGCCCACACTGCAGCAGCAGCAGCAGCAGCAGCAGCAGAAGACGAGCTGCTGCTGACGCCAGCAGACTGTGTGAACTTCTTCAAGCTGCACCAGGGCACGCTGCGGCCGGAGCGCTACCTGCTGCTGCTGCAGCAGCTGCAGCAGGCTCTGCAGCAGGACGCTGAAAGCAGCAGCAGCAGCAGCAGCAGCAGCAGCAGGTGGAGGCGCTGCATTGAGGAAGAGGACGTGGTGGCGCTGCAGAAGTGGCTGCTGCTGCGCGTGGACGCGATCCCGGCCCGTTTGCTGCTGCGTTGTTTGCTGCAGCTCGAGCAGCTAGCCATGTGCAGCAGGCTGCTGCTGCATGCTGCAGCGCCGCTGCTGCTGCTGCAGCTGCCGCAGCTGCGCCTCCAAGGGGCGCTGCAGCTGCTGCAGCTGTACGTACACCGCAAAGCAGCAAAGCCGCAGATGTGCATACAGCTCGCTGACTGGATTGCAGCATGCGGAAGCAGCGGCTCCTTGAGCCTCCAGCAGCAGCAGCAGCAGCAGCAGCAGCAGCAGCTGGTGCAGCAGCAGCGGCTGCAGCAGGAGCTGGGGCAGCACGAGCACCTGCAGCTGGAGCTGGTGAAACGAGAGCAGCCGCAGCAGCAGCAGGAGCAGCAGCAGGAGCAGCAGCAAGAGCAGCAGCAGCAGCAGCAGCAGCAGGCAACTCAGCTGCACCAGCTGCCTTCCTCCGTCTTGGCAGGAGCTTGCGAAGTAGCAGCAAAAATGCCAGCCAGCCAGCATGTGCTGCTCCAGGGTAAGACAAAAAAGGGTACTGGGGGCCCCCGGGGGCCCTTGGGGGCCCCCGGGGGCCCTTGGGGGCCCCTGGGGGCCCTTGGGGGCCCCTGGGGGCCCTTGGGGGCCCCTGGGGGCCCTTGGGGGCCCCTGGGGGCCCTTGGGGGCACCTGGGGGCCCTTGGGGGCACCTGGGGTCCCCTGGGGGCCCTTGGGGGCCCCTGGGGGCCCCTAAAAGGGGCCCTAGAGGGCTCCGGGGGGCCCCCGGTTGAGCCCCGCATGGAAAGATGTGCAGCAGCAGCAACAGCAGCAGCAGCAGCAGCAGCAGCAACAGCAGCAGCAGCAGCGGCAGCACGCAGTGGAGCAGATTGGCCTCAGCGGTGAGACAATGGCTAAAAGGCCGAGTGTTGAATTATCAAGAAGCAAAAAAATAAAATTAAAAATTAAATCAATATCATAAATAAAAGTCATTTGCTGCAGTGTACAGACAGCAGCCATGCATTCACTCTTTTTGCACTTCTTCGCACTTTTCTCCCTTTCTTGATAACTCTTTACATTTAATTTAATTTTATTCATTTATTTATATTTATTTTTATTTATTTGCATTTATTTGCATTTATTTGCATCAATTTATTCCAAAAAACAAATAAATGCAAATAAATGCAAATAAATGCGCCCTTGTGTTTGTCTTGGCTTTTTGGCGGTCTTTGCAATTCTGAAAAAAGAAAAAAAGAATTTAAAATAAATTAATTTTAATTAAATGCACTTATTCCTTTTCCCGATGAGATGCAGCTCCCCGAGAGCTTAAATGCTGAAAAGGAGACTCGAAAAAGCATGCAGTTGCTGCTGCTGCTGCTGCTGCTGCTGCTGCTGCTGCTGCCAGCCTGGCGGGCTTGCTGCTGCGACCCACAGGGCCCTGCAGCAGCCGCAGTGGGCTGCAGCGGCTGCATTTGCTGCTGCAGCTGTCTGCAGCAAGTGCTGCTGCTTTTGTGTCTCATTAAATGAATTTAGAATAATAATTAAATTAGAATAATAATTAAATGCATACTTGAATCTCAAAAAGGAGAAGAAATGAGAGCAACAGAGGCAGCAGCACATGTGCAGAGGGCCAGCAGCCTGCGTGCTGCGCAGCAGCAGTAACCAAAGCTGCTGCTGCTGCTGCTGCTGCTGCTGCTGCTGCGTTTGCTGTTGTTTGGCAGGGCTGCTGCGGTGTATATGGGCGGCTGCAACCTGCGGGGTGAGGCAGATGAACTGGCGTTGTTGTGGCTCCGTGCTGCTGCTGTTGCTGCTGCTGCTGCTGCTGCTGCTGCCAGAGGCTGCTAGTTAGCTCTTTTGCACTGTCTTCCTTCGCAGGCCCAGCTGGACCGACTCTTCAAACAGGCAGAAGGTGAGCCCCCGCGAATAGGCGAGCAGCAGCAAGAGCAGCGGCAGCTGCTCTTGCTGCTGCTGCTGCTGCTGCTGCTGCTGGGCTTGTGGCTGCTGCTGCTGCTGCTGCTGCTG